TGCTATATACTATACTGGAACTGGAATAACAAATGATGTTGGAGTCAAGAGCTGTTTCAAGCACAAGAAAATGTATTTACTACGACTTGTGATTCATTTAACCTCCCTGTTCCTAATAAAATAACAATTATATATTTAAAGGAGCTTATGACCAGCACTAGGCAGGCAAGGAGGGGGGAGGGGGGGCATAGATTTGATAAGTATATTTTTCAATATTTTTAAAGATTTTTTTTTCATTTTGTTTGAACGTTTCCCTTACACTTTTCTTTGGTTAAAAGAAAAGTTTGTTTAGTTTTAGTTGGGAAGGGAGGAGAGAAATTGCTCCTTCTCATATTATCACCCTTTTTTTCCTTTTGGAAAAAGGGGGGGAGGGCAGAAATTATAGTGTCAGAAGCCTTTGATACACATTTATTCATAGCACTACAAAGTTCCTGGCATCCTTGGAGCTAGGAGAGATAGTGAAGCACTCTGGGATGCCAGAGGTCCCCTACAGCACTACATGTACCTGTGCACATTATATAAAAAACTACAAAATGTATCACTGCAAAGAAGTTACTGTTTGCAGCATTACAAATAATTTGAATGTGTGGACATACACTTTTGGGGCACTGTAAAGGTGTTTATAGTGCTACAAAAGTAATGTGTCCAAGACCAGAGAATGTTTTATTCATACAGGGTATATCTACATATGCAAATGCTGTGGGGTGGGTTTACTCTAGAATAACTTAAACCCACCCTGGGCACGTGTCTACATGTGCAGGGATGTGGCATTTGATTTCCTACTCCTGGCAGCAGTCTTCTCCTGCCCCCTCCTGCGGTCCCAGCCCCCTGACCCTTACTGGCAACTCTTTCCAAGCCTCCCACCAAAATGGACAGTCCTCAGCCACCTCCAGGCTGTATGAGCAGACTTCCTCATGCAGCCCAGGGCTGATTGGGAACTGTCCTGGTCAGGGGCAGGCCCCAACCAGCTCTAGGCTGGGCAGGAAACTCTCCCCATGCAGGGAGCTCCCAGCCCCGGCTATGCAGTTGTGGAGTGGGGGCTGGGAACAGGCTGGGAACTTGTTCTCTGTCCCCACTTTGCAATTGCAGAGCAGGGGCTGGGAGCTCCATGCTGCTGGAGCAGGAGAATACTGCCTCCCCCCCCGAGGCTCCAATAGTGGAGCCCACCCCAGCAGCAGGCAGCTATGGGTGGGGCAGGGAGCAATCTTCAGCCCCATGCTGCCTGCCTGCCTGCCTGACTGGGAACAAATTTGCTCCCAGTCGGCCATCTACATGTGCTGTACTGTGCAGTAATTAGTTCCAAGTAAATTTGCTACTTGTATTTTAGAGGTGTGTGTAATGGGCCCTATTCAATTTGGATTCGGCCCAAATGAGGGACAGTGATGTGATCTGTTGATTCAGATCGCTGTCCCCGATTCAATTCAGCCGAATCCAAATCTGACGATTCGATGCTGATTTGGCGAATCAGCAGTTCAGACACAGGCATAGCTTTGAAAGTTTTTCCTACATACTTTGAGGTAGCAGCATGGCTTGTGATCGCTGCAATGCTGGAGTGGATGGAGTGTCCCACAGGAGCATGCGGGGCTCTCCAGCATGCTCAGCAGCAAACCCGGAAGTGGACTGGCAGTACTTCCAGTACACTTCTGGGTCTGCCAGGGAGTGCGTGGGGCCCCCTGCCCCCCACACCCCTTGGCCCAGTGATTGGCTGCAGGGGGACCCTGGGTGACTCCCAGACCCAGTTGCCAAGCCGGGGGGACACGGGGGAGCCCTCCCAGCATGCTCCCTGGTGAACCTGGAAGTGCTTCTGGTCCACTTCCAGGTCTGCTGCTGAGTGCACTGGAGAGCCCGCTGTGCTTCTGTGGGACACTGCATCTGCCCCAGCACCACAGCATTCAGAGTCCCTGCTACCTGGAGGTATGAAGAAATAACATTTAAAGCTGTATCTACGTCTGAATCACCAAATCTGTCTGAATCTCTCTGAGTCGATTAGGAGGGTTCCAATTCAATTCGGAGAGATTAAAGGGTCCTCTGATTCGATTTGGATTAAGAGATGCGGCCACTGAATTGGGCCAAATCTCCACTGAATTTGAATCAGGGACCAAAGCTTCGCACAGCCTTATTGTATTTACAGGTTGCAAATTTACTCATGATTAGAGCAAATTACTGTGCAGTAAACAGCTGCGTGTGTACAAGTGACACTTACTGCACAGTAATTTGCTCTAATTTCAAGTAAAACGTCTCATGTAGATGTGCCCACAGTGAAGCAAGTTTTTAACAACATTTTCATTTTTCATTTTTAAAATGTTTGAACAGGAATTTGTCAGTTGGTCCAGTCCAGATAATTCTACTACAAAACATGAATAAGACACTGAAAAACCTTTCCAAAACTGAAGGTAGGATTGTGGATCCGAAGATCAGCATAGTTTTGAGAAAGTAGTAGTTTGAAGAAGGCCTTGACAAAACCAATATGCATCTGTTTTAAGAATATGCATTGTTGGAAAAGGAGATTTAAAAGTAAAAGCAGGAGAGAAAATGCAGAGCAGTTTGAAGGGCTATATTTAAACAGAAGGAGGATTATTGGTCGAAATGTGGATGAACATGTGCAACAGCAGCAGTTAGAACTTGGGAATATTTTTAAAAGAAAGAAATTGTTGAGTGAGGAATACATCAAGTGAAATAATCATTTTTGAATAATGAAATGTGTGATCCTCTACATAGAAAGCAAAGACATTTGGTGCATGATACATTGTACACGTACACCCTCAGATGCACTTCTTACTTTTTCTTTTCAACTTAAATGAAAATTACAACAGAAAAACCTGCAGGATTTAAAATGAGTTGTGATCTGATTCCACTTGTTTTAGCCATTTATAGAAATACAAATATATCTTGAATCACACATTTTTTCTTAGAAATCTGCTGATAGAGGAGAGTGCTCTCTTACACACACACTCTCATTCATTTATTTTATGGGCTAAAATATGATTATTCATAGTTAAGAACCCTGAGGTGCCTGGAGGTACAACAACATATTTGCCCAAAGAATTATAGCAGCTCTCTAAATTTCACCCCTCCCTGTGCATTTCACTCTGCTACACATGGTGTGGAATATTCTTAGGAAGCATATTTCCTGCCCCTCCTGTAGTATACTCAGGCAACACTGAAAAATTATAGTATGTGTTAGACTTCATGTATGTTTTCCAACCAAGCAAAATGTCTGTTTTTTTTCTTGATTATACTGTAAGGCCTGTTTAAGTACTTCCAGTACTCAAGCTAGCTTGTTTAAAGTTGACTCAGGTACTCAATACTATACAAGAGAGTAGCTAGCCATGTTAGTCTGAAATCAGGTAGAAGACAAGGCAGAATGGCACCTTAGAGACTAATTGGTTCAGTGAGGTATAAGCTTGCATATGCAAAAGTCTGCTGCATCAGATGCTACAAACAGTGCTGCAATCTTCTACATAGAGCCTTAGACTGAGAATGACAAATGATGAACAGCAAACACTCTTGCTTGCATATGCTGTTCATGTTCGTATATCATCCAGATATTTGTGTGGGGAATGGACAGTCCCTTCAAATTAACAAAGACAAAAGCCCCGTTTGTGCTAATGCCTACACACTGTGAGCAGAAGCGAATACGAAGGTGTTCCATCTGAACAACCAATCAGGATTCAGACTGACACACAAATCGGTTTTTTGCAATATTTGACCATGTTGTGAATTGAGCACTCTAGCTTTCAGACAGGAAAACATCCAGTCACCCACATCACTGCTCACAGCAGTTGGCATGACTCTCTTAAGCCAGCAGGGTTGGGTTTTTTTGTTGGTTTCTAGTCTCATTGATGGTTGGGCAGTTGTTCAAATACCGTTAGAAAAGCAGGGTTTGTCAGAACAAATCAGGCCTGTCTTGGCAGTTAGCACCTTCTAGTTTCAGTGGGTTGATTTTTGTTTTTATTTTTCTTCCTTTCATTAAATCCTGGGCACAAGTTGAAATGACCCAGTGACGTGAAGGTGCTGTTTGATCCATCAACAGCCCCAGCCCCTTCCTCTAGAGCACGCTCAGTTCAAGTGAAAACAAGCCACTGAATGTTCAGCCAAGTAATGCTAGGTGGCTCCCAGCAGTCAGCTGTGGGATAATAGGGGATTTCTGTGAGGGGGCAATAAAAGGAACATTGTCTAGATTTAAAAAAATCCCCATAGCCCAGGGAACCATGCATTAGTAAACAGAAATTCAGAGAAACGGGTAAAATAACATTTATATTTTCTACACTATTCTCCAATTCTCAGATAACTGCCCTTATTTTTTTGCAGTCAAGATGGATAAATACATATTACTATCTACTATTACTACTACTAAAAACTCTTATAATTGACTTCACATCTGGGGTCTGTTTGATAATCTTTAGCATTGCCTATTAGACTAGCACTCAGAAAACCCAAGCAAAATCAGACTCCCATTGTGCT